TGGTAGCCCAGGCTGGCCTCGAACTCACAGAGATCCACCTGGCTCTGCCTCCCGAGTGCTGGGATTAAAGGCGTGCGCCACCACCGCCCGGCAAGACAAATTTTAAATAAAACTTTCTACCTTTTCTGAGTCTGATTTGTGGTGCTGTTTGCAAAGCCTCCAGTGTGATATGAATTGCAGTGGGAAGATTTTCAACCTTCAGGATGTAAATATAGTACCTATTACATTCATGACCTCAGGGGTGTCAGAATTGTGCACATGAGTGTTGGTGTGTGTTGAAGCAGTTGTAAATAATAAACTATAAAGTGAAATGTAGTGCATGGCCTTTACAGATCTGCTACAGAAAGGGGGAAAAGCATCAGCATATTAAGAGAAAGAAGCTGGGAAGGGAAAAAATAAAAGGAAAAGGACAGGAGGAAATTATGAATTGCAAGAAAAGAGAGAAATATACGTAAGAGTAACTTTAGCAGATAGAGTGTCAGCTGAAACAGGAACACAGCACTAAAATTCCTCGGAAGGCAGGCATACACGTCCTTCTCGACGCACATTTTTTTCTTTGCTCTGGTTTTTAAATGTAAAGAGAATTTCAGAAAATGGCCTTATCCAAGGTCTACACATGAATACTTTCAGCTTCAGGAATGGTCACCATCATTACATTCCTCCTTGTGTAGACTGCTTGTTGAGTGTACTGTGGTAACTCCAGGCATCAAGGATTGAGCCTGGTGCGGTATTAGGTGCTACAACATTAAAATGTCACAGGCATATGAAAACAGCTAGTACTTTTATATGCCAGCTGTATTTAAGAGGTTTAAGATATTAACATATTTAACCCTCAGAACTATCTTGCCACCTCTCCAACTGGAATTTAGGAAGGCGAGTACTCTGTTGATTTCCAAGAAGGGAGTGGAACAAGGATTTGAGCTGAACAACTGGGGCACACTTTTGTAGTGGGTAGCTTTTCCAGCTTTGACCGAACCCTTTGAGGCTTCGGTAACACCTGCAAGGCGGAGCTGAGAGAGGACCTCTGAAGACCTGAGATCCAGATGGGCTGGCTCTCTTGGTTCCTGGATCCTGGACACTGGAGGTAGACTGAGTAGAGTTCTCCAGAGAACACCGCCGGACTGTGCTACATCTTTCCCAGACCCTGTTACCTGTCCCTTCACTTGTAAGTTGCCCCACAAAATAAACCTCCCTTTTAACTATGTGGAGTTGCCTTAATATTTAAACCAATACACTTTTAATTATAATCCTAAATCTAAGAAAAAAGCTCTGATATTCAGATTCAAGGGTTACATATTTGAGATCATAGCAGTATCCTGACAGGTAATGCAAAATTGAGTAGAAATGTCTGTGATGGTGAAATAACTCAGGCTGTGGAGACACATAGGTCCCCAGGGTCTGCCTCCTCCAGTTAGCTCGATGTTGATTGCAAATCTGACCCAGAAAGCTTTTTTAAAATCCTTGTGCCTAGGGTGCACACTGGTGCAAAATTAAGTAAGAGATTTAACTATATATATATATAAATGCTTTCAGATGGTTCTGTTGCAAAGCCAAGGTTGCAGCTCACTGTTTCAATTGGACAAATGACTTAATATTTTCATGATTAAATTTACTACTTTATAAGGAAAATATGTATGCACCTGCCATGGTGCCTGGTGCTTAGCTGCCCATAAATAGATTTTAGTCCTGTGTCCTAACCACAAGTATGCCATGGTGGTTCATAATAAAGTGAAAACAGAGGGTTTTCTGGAAATTTCATGGGATGGAAACAGGACTTTCCTGAGAGATGAGTTTCAGAAGTTCTGAAAGCATGTTTTGTGAACAGTGATGGGATGAGCCTGGTAGGCATGAGGCAGGCTGATTGGCCTCTGCACAGACTGCACACACAGGGTCTGCCACGTAAGGTGGTTTCCACAGTGTGCAGGTGGAGACAGAGACAATAGAACAGAAGATGTAGGGGACAGGGGGAGCTTTAAATGGCAAGGGGAAGAGATTTGCCTCCAGGGGATGTGCAGATTCGCCTGGGATGGAGTTAGAGGGGAGCTCAGAGCTGCTCCTTGTCACACTCTTGTTTCACAGATGCAGCAAATGAAGGCATCAGTAAGTGAAGGGTGTGAGTTCAATACCAGAGCTGGACCATAATCAAGAATCTCCAATTTGTTCATTCTGATAGCATGTTATAGGTCACTTTTAGTCCAAAATCATCAGTCAAAAATGACATATGACCTAATAGTTATTTTGAGAGAACCCCCATTATCTGATTATCTTAATTCTTTTCTTTATTTTTAAAAAGTTGAATTTAGGAGTTGGAGAGATGGCTCAGTGGTTAATGGATGTTCTTGAAGAGAACCTGGGTTTGGTTCCCAGCACCCAGATGTGGCTTAGAACCATTTTAACTCCATTTCCTGGTCTCCCAGACACCATGTATGTACTTGGTGCACATCCATGTAGGCAAAATACTCATTCACATAAAATAAAACAATTAAAAAAATTTTCAAGTTGAATTTACTCAGTTGGTGTATGTGTTGGTAAAGACTGTGGTTAATAGTTTTCTGATAGGATAACGGTATGTTAGGGAAGTGTTTTATTTATTAGTTATTTATTTTTAATCAGATTCCTACAATTCAAAGAGCATCATGCATCCAGAACACTCTCAGTTCCCCAACCTTGCTGATGGCTAACTTTCCACAAACTGAGACCCTCCATGGCTACTTCCATTATGAAGGAAAAGAGGTGATCTGCAGGAATCACTCAAATATGGATGCAATCCATTTGGGGGCATGAAGTCTTACATACATAAAAAAAAAAAAAGGCTTGGTTGGTATCTATAAACTTAGCACCCATGTCACATACTACTACACATTTATGTAGCCATGACTTTTTCTACTTTTTTAATCAGTTAGCAATGCCTTTATTTACAGTGAGTTGAAGTAGCCATCTGTACAACATCTGTGAGACTGGGATTCTTGACATCTTAAATGACACCAGCTCTTCACTAAAACTGTCAAAATAGGAAGGACATAAGCCCTATGTTTTATATTTAAACACTGAATGAATCCAAGCTGTAAGTTTTGAAATAAAATATGATATATATTTTCAGTAATGACATCCTGAGGAATGAAGCCGTCTTTCAGAAAAGTCATTTCTGTATAGTTTGAGCTCTATGCTGAATGCAGATGAGATTCCCGCCACTTGAGTGAATCATATTGGATGGTATCATGGAGAAAAAATGTTTTTGTCTTTTAGGACCATGGTGGATATAAAAACATGTACATACTAATATTAATTTTGGTGTATAATCTCATAAAATAAAGGGTACTTAGTGAATAAAAAAAGCCTACATTATAAATATTAGAAATACCAGAGTTTTGTTACACTTCTTACTAAAAGTTTCATTGTTTATATATTATGATTTGCTTTTTATTATTTAATGATCACTGTATACATACTTCCTTTCTCCAAAGCAGAACTATTACTTTACTTTATTAAGCAATTATTACCTTATTTCCAATTATTATCTTATTTTTAGGAATAAAAGAGAAATGCAGTGATTCAAAACCATCTAAGCTAGTGTAATTGAAAAAAGACAGTTTGGCATTATTATATCATAGGTAAAAAGAATGGATCCTGTTTTGCTAAATAGTTGTATCACATTATTAAAATAACTTTTTGGGCCAGTGAATGTTTAGCTAAACAGACAACTTCTAAGTAGATTTCATTCCAGCATCGTCTACCATGACTACATCTCTCTTCATACCAAGGAAGTTCTATTATGAAGAATGGAATTATCTCTGAGAACACACAGTACATTCGAGAAAAATATTGTCTGGGCTTTGTCAGTATCTTAGAGTCTGTGGGCCTTTCAGTTCTCTCTCTCTCTCTCTCTCTCTCTCTCTCTCTCTCTCTCTCTCTCTCTCCTTCTCTTTGTCTCTGTCTTTCTCTGTGTCTCTCTCTCTCTGTGCCTATCTTCCTGATTGTGTCATAGATTTCTGTGGAAGAAGAAAAGGATTAAATGTTGGTTTAGTTCAGTAAAGCATTTTTCTTTACTCTCTATTAGATATTGGAAGACAAGTATGGACAATTTATGCTCTTGAGAAATCTAATCTAAGGAAGCCATCATTAAATACACACTGCTCTTGTGCCCTTGACGTCTTAGCATATGCACACTGTAAGATATGCAGAGACTCCTGTGTTTATATATTGTGTCCTTCATAAAACAGGAAAATAAAAATGATTAGATACAAAGCAGATGCACGTATATTTTCATCTTTATTAGCTTCATCACCAGGATGGCTCTGTGCTCTTCCCTCCTCTTCCTGGTGTAAATCACACCATTCTGGAGACCACAGGTCTCAGACACACTTGAAAGAGAAGGAAGAAAACACCATGCCTGAATTGCTCTGGGAACACAGGGAGGCTACACTGGGAACATGGTGGAAAGAGGCTTGCTAGAGAGAAGGCTACGGCATCAGATAGTCGGAAATGATAGGAAGAGTGTGTGGAGAGAGCAGAACAGAGTGGAGAAGAGTTGGAAATCCCAAAGCAAGGTTATCAGCACAAAGTGAGACAAGGAGTTGAGAGGCGGGGAAGAGATGGGAAGGGACTCTAGGGAGGAAGTCTTGCAATTTCAGGTTATAAAGCATGGCAGTCAGTGTGGGGCCTTCTCTAAAGGCCTTTAACAGTGTACCAAATCAAGTCCACGCAGTTAAGCATCAGAAAGCTGCTTCCCTGTGCTATCCTCCCCCACGGGGAAGTTCAGACAGAGATGTTCCAGAGCCCAGCTGACGTGACTGCGTACTTCACAGGCTAGAACACACGCTGTCTCCTGAGCAGCCAGTGTCATGAACTTAGACTGGAAGAGCTTTTGACTCGGTTGCCATTCAACTGAGTAGAATTACGTTGTTTTACGATTGCCATAAATTGTCAGCTGATTAAAACAATGCTGAACTGGACATATAGGTGTCTCCTTTGAAGGCTGAGTCTGTGTCTCCTCCAGCAGGAAGACACAGATCATGGCACCTGACCCTCCCTAACATACCAGTCCCCTCCTGACTGGAGTTGATTATTTAGAACACATGTTCAAGAATGGGACATACCCACGTTTGCTAACTGCATGCCAAATTGCGATTTGCCCTGCTCATTTGGGAAACTCATTTTCCACTCCAGCAGCCATGTGAAGTTCACGGCAAGGCTAGTGCAGCTGTGTGTGCTTTCTCAGGCCTTTCTGAGGAGGGCAGTGCTGGGGTCAGGATGCAGCACAGTAACCAGGACAGTTGAGGAACACATGCCCCGAGTCTTAACCTTTCCCTGCTGGAAGAAGATTGAGAGGAGGCAGACTTAGAGAGTGGAGTTTAGAGAAGTTCTCATTGCAGGTCTAGCCATGGCTCAGGCAAGATTTAAAGCTGTAATCTGAGTCTGATAGCCTCATCTCCCTACTTGTACGGATGCTCAAAATGTGAGCGGTAGCTGTGGTCATTTCCCATCATTTATTTTCTATCTACCATGTGTGAATTATGTACAGATTATGCATGTATGTAGTGAGTTGCTGTAACACAAAAAAAGGGAACTGGAGATAAAGCTCAATGGGTGAAGGAGACCTGGATTTGTTCCCAGAGACCCACATGATGAGAGGAGAGAACTGACTCATGCAGGCTGTCCTCTGACCCTCATGTGCACGCTTTGGTACACAAACACATTACATTAAAATGTAATAAAAAATACAGTGAAAAAAAGCCAACTTCCTGCCCTCATGAAACCATTATCTTCAGAAGAATGACACTAAACAAGGAATTACATACTTCATTTAATTGTAGAGATTGTGATGCAAGAAAAGCATAGAGTTAGGAAATGAGTTAGAAGCTAAGAGAAGGCTCCAGGCAGAATTCACCTCTGATCTGCGATTTCTAGATGGCTATGGGTTAGGAATGAAGCATGCACAGGGCTTGATTAATCGAGTGTTTCAACTATAAAAGCAATGCATTTACATTTATAGTATGTTTTGATGTTTATGGGAATGTAAGAAGTAAAATCCTTGTTTAAAGCAAGGGTAGACTAATTAAACATGTACTTATTTACTAAGGGATTTATTTTAGAGAAAGGATATCCATGTAATCACCGTTAGTGTCCCCAGATAGACAACTCTCTATTTCAGGCTGTGAAATGGCTTCAATGTAGTCTGAAGAAATGGGCTGCAACCCACAGGTTTCTTCTGGGTTAATCAGCAAACCACAATCCTGCATTAAAATTTAAAAAAAGATTAGCTGTCACATCATTAACAGATCCCATGATAAGAAACATAAATAGTAAGACACAAGGCAGAGTCCTAGGACTCACTGCTAGCCACCATAGCCTACTTGGCAAGCTCCAGGCCAAGTTCTTGCTTCAAGAAGAATGCTGATAGTCCCTGAGGTTGGTTTTATTTTTGGCATCTGCATGTGACCACACATGAATGCCCATCTGCATGTACACATGTGCATCTATACATACAATTTTCATTTCTACACACACACACACACACACACACACACACACACACACACACACACACGGATATTCTGTGGCAAGTAACTTTTAAGGACAAAAGGAGCACACAGTCAGTGGGTGTCAGAAAGGGGTCTTATCCACATAGTTGGGTACACTGTGCGCTCATTTTATGGAAAAAGAGAGTGGTGAGACCCATTGGAAAGAGCTCACTGCACTTGGGAATTTTCGATCTAGCCATTCATGAGCTAACTGGTTGTGCTATTAAGTCACATGATCTAGCTTTCTCATTACAAGATGGTGACAGGTAGAGAGAGGAGAGAAAGGAATCGCATCACATGACCTCAAGTTCCGTGGCCGGCTGTCTTAGGTGCCTGCACAATAGTCACCCGTATTCCCTTCCTACTTTCTTTCAACTTTTTTTTGCTGCTGTTGGAGGTAGCTATGTGCTCGATGTTTAAAACAAATCTATTTCCCAGCATTTCCTGTGGATAAAACTGGTCACAGGCAGAGCTGTTGTCCAAAACCTGTACATGAATTTCAGGTGTGGATTTCTGGAAAAGATGCGAGTCCCCAGGGAAACATGTTTCTTGTCACTCTGTATCTTCGTTCACTTGAGATGCAAATGTGAGACTAAAGGATGAGCAGCCTTCTTGTGATTGTGAAGCAACATGGAGCAGAAAGGGTAGAGACAACTCAGTGGCTATTCTGCAGATCTCACAATAAAAGAAAAAAAAACTACAGAAGAAATATAACAGACACATACCACAGTTGGGGTTAAAAATCTATTTGGATTTCACCTTCCCTACTCCCCTTCCTGGAAAAGGAAGCTAATAGCAGGCACCCTTGTCTGTCTTACAGCATGGAGCGGCCTTTTGCGTGAGCTGAATTGCTGAGAATCCTGCATTTCTCTGATGTAAAATTTCTTCTTCTTAAAAAAAAAAGATTTCTAATGATTTTTAATCTAAATTTATTTTGGAGGGACATATGGATGTGCATGCCACAGGGCATGTGCGGAGGCCAGAGGCCGTCTTGAGGGGGAGGTTGGGTGACCATTTGAGGGAACTGGTTCTCTCTCTCCACCACGTGCGTACCCCCGGACTGAACTCAGGTCGTCAGTCCTGGCAGCAAACTCCTGACCCCCTGAGCCACCTCAGTGGCCCCAGAGCTTGTTCCTTTGCTCTACCTTTTTTTGGCGCCCTCCCTGCCTTTCAGGACAGGGTTGTGGTAGCTGGAACGACTATTAGGAGATCTGAGGGAAAGGGCAGAGCTGTGATGATATAGTTCTGACTCCCCTGATCTGCAGCCTCTGCTGTTGGAGGTTTTGGCATGTAAGAGGAAAAGCATGCTTGCTTCAGTTTCTATTAGTCGGGTTGGGGTCACTCACAAAAACAGCTACTTTTGACCTTACAGGTTACCATCTCCAAATCTGCCTTTTACCGTACAAGCTCCCCAGGCGCTCACAAGAGCCCCAATTTCTAGGTCAACCCTGTTACCAGTCTCTCCTCATTTCCCCCAGCATCCCACTAACCTCCACGCCTTTGCTTAGACTGTGTCCTTCTTTTCCCTTTTCCCTTCCGTTACTGCTATGTGGACCTGTGCCCTTGTATTTATTTACCACTGGGATTGCTTTGACCTCTTCATGGGTCTCTCTTGCCTGCCCAGGCATCCATTTCCTGTATGGTTGCTAAACGTCTTTCCCACATGCAAATTTTATTAACCCTCCTTTCTGCCTGCTCCCATTCTCTAGACTGCATTGCAAGTATTGACTCAAACAGCTGTTGGTGTGTCCAGGACACCGTTCAATGTTGTCTCTGTGCCTTTACATGCACAGCTGTCTGCTCCCCCTGCACTCACATCGACTGTCAGAGCCCCTTCTGCAGAGCGTGTGTGTATGTGTGGCACTGCTCTTTCTTATTGTCCTACGGTCACTTTCTCTATCACTTAACCTCTTGCTGTGAGGACAGGAAGACTGGCTTCTATGCTCATAGTTTCTGTCTCTATACCGTGTAGCTGGGAACACAACAGACATGAAAGTGTGTCATGTTAAGCCCTACATGCACGGTGGGGGACACCGAAGACGTGGGGTGTGTCTGTGTGCTCCTTGGAGCAAGGGTGATGTTGTTGTCTTCCAGTTGTGAGGAGAAAAGACACGAAGTGGGTTTAGCTGATAGCACTTCATCCTAGGGTCTTTTTGAAAGTTTTTTTTTTTAAAGCACTTGCATTTCTTTTATTTAGGACATGTCATAAAAGATGGCCTCTAAATATAGAACACAGCAAAAATTAAATGGCACTAAATGAAGCATTTAAGATATTATTGGGGATAAAATTGTTGCTTAAGTCATCAGAGAATGGTAGCTCCTGACATAAAGTAAATTTTACTGTTTTTTGTTTTGTTTAATTTTTGTTTTTATTTTTTGTTTGTTGTTTAAAGCTTTCTTTTTATTTATTCTATGTGTAAATTTTGCTTTTTCTAAAGAATTCATCATAAGAGTCTTCTGAGAAATATTCAAGGTGTCCTGCAAGATATGATATTCTATGATGAGTACTGTAAAATGAAAAAAAAAAAAAGGAAGAATTTGGATTTTGAGATTTGCCAGGACTTTGACTGAAGTTCTTCTGTGAAACTTTTTGGCAAGAAGATGATTATCTTAAACACATACTGAAAAATAATATCATGTGTCCTGAATTGAATGTCGCTCAAATTTCAGATGCCTATTAAAGAAAACTACACCATAAATAAGCATAACTTGGTGCAATACTTAAATGAATACAGTCATATACATATTTAGGACATGCAGAGTTTTATTGTTATAAAAGTTCCATATTCACAATATAATCATAGACATTAAGTAAGCATACTTAATTTGTCAAATATGCATCAAGTAACTTGTCTGCTCCATGAATACTAGGATGAATATCAGTTGCTAGTTGGAGTTTCTAAGATGCCTTCCTTGTGAAAAAAAATTAACAAAAACTCCATATTCTCCAGTGCTGTGGGATGTCTTTCTGTATGCTGTGAATATATGCTGTTCCCATTAGTTAGTAAATAAAGTTGCTTTGGCCTATGACAAGAAAGTTTATGGACAGGCAGGAAATCCAAGTAGAGAGACAGGGAAAAAAGGACAGATGGTGGGGAGACACTATCCACTGCCCAAGGAGCAGCAAGATGCCCGCAGACTAGTAATGCCACCGCCAAGTGGCAACTTATAAATTAATAGAAATGGGTTAAGTTATAAGAGCTAGCTAGCAAGAAGCTTGAGCCATAGGCCATCCAGTTTATAATTAATATAAGCCTCTGTGTGTTTACTTGGGTCTGAATGCCTATAGGACTGGGCAGGCAGGACACAGGAAAATTTCTGACTACACTCCAGTATGAAACTGAAGCATAGTGATGACAATAATGATGGTTGAAATCACTATGCATTTCTTAGCATCTTCTCTACACCAGCCCTCGTATTAGGTAATTTTTTTTCTCACGGCAGTTGATAAATTTAGAGATAAGAAAAGAGAAATGCTGTGTGAATTAGGATTTATACTCAGGTCTACCTCACTTTAAAACTCAGCTACCTCGCCTTAGCATATTGATGATGTCCATAAAGATAGAGCAGAACATTACTTTTGCCACCGAGTTGAGACTTTCTGAGAAAGGTGTAGCCTTTTTTCTGCTTTGCTCCACCTTCACCCCAACCCCAGTTGGAATTTGGTTAGTCAAGGTGAAGCTACACATGGACTGAGTTTGGTGTGAGCTCATGGCAGCAACCATGTGATTATTTAGCATGACTGTGGGCATGTGATAATCAATTTAAACATGACTCCCAATTGAAAATAATGTCAATGTATGGCATCAATGATAAGCGATTCATTTAAGGATGGGTCCCAGTTCCAGCTAAAAGGCCATCAGAACAAAGACAAATGAGAAATAAAAGTAATCATGTCTTACAGAGAGCCTGACATGCCAGGCATGTCAGACAAGATATTCCATTGGTGGCATTCCAACCTGCCAGACAAGATATACCCATTGGTGCAATAGCGGTATAAAGATTATAAGGGTAACCAACCTTTGAGCTTATTTTTGAGGCCTGCTCCATGCATGGTACTATTATCCTATTCCAAATCCCTTGACTTAGGAGAAGGCCCTAAATGGAGGAACCTACTACTGCTGTATTGCTAAATCCATATGTTGTCAAATTGCCTTCTCTATATGCTTCAACCCACAGATTAGTGTTGTCCTCAACCTTGGCCAGAGATGCTTCTCTCTGCAGTAGGCTTTATTGTTGTAAAAGTTCCATATTCACAAATATAACAAAAGACATTAACTAAACATACTTAATTTGCTAATGAGGGGTTAATGTGGAGACTCATAACTGGTCAAAGGGCTGAGACTAAGTGACAGTTGAATATATTTGGCCTAAATGGTACATCCCTGTCAAATCCCCTCCTAAGGCTTAAGGGACATCACAGAAGAGAAGGCAGAGAGGATATAAGAGCCAGATGGTGGGGAAGAGTGATGTGAAATGCTGTCTTCTGGGAATGGCATGCCCATTGCATTCACAAACTCATTATAGCTATAGTTACCTCTATAAGACCTGGACCTCTAATAGAACATCTGAATCCACACAGTGAAGAACCATCACCGAGTGTGAGACCACTGTGTTTCTTTCCTAAGCAAGTGTCAAGGGGAATATGGTCATACATTGTATTATGAAAGTATTCTAAGTTGGTCCACAAAAACTAAGGAGGAAGGGAAACT